GCAGGGGACAAGCAGGTATCCGAAAAATATACCTGAGATATGCACGGTACCAAGGAAACCTGGGGGGGACTAATGTAAACACGCGTTAAAAAGGGGGCCAAAATCGAGGCCGAAGGCGAATCGCGGCCTCACAACCCTCCCCCCCCTCTCGGGTAGTGTTCCGGGAGTAATACAGGGAGGAATAAACTAGGACTAAGAGGGGAGGCGGAAATATGGGAAGTAAGGAGGAAAAGGGCTAGAAAGGATAGTGCAGGAATAAGGAGGGAGAAATAATGAGAAAGAACAGGTAAAGGAGAAAGGAACACGAGGAAACAAGCTGTTAGGAGACAAAGGCGCGCGCTGATATGGTATAAGTAGTTGAAAGGAGCTAGGATATGATTCAGGGGGAATTAAGAACTCATGGTTTGAACGGGTCTCGGGAGGATAGGGTACACGGACCCCATAAAAGGGAACCACATAGGAAGCATCAATCACAAGCACTATATCCTTGAAATTTCACCCTCCAGGAAATGGCAAAAGAAATAAGCCAGAAGCGGCGGCAGGCGCTACGATTACGCCAGAAAAGAATCAACAGAATGAAGAAACATAGGGCTGGGGTAAAGTCCAGGTTGAATCGGGAGGAGAGCCTTCAGGAGACGAGGAGGAGAAGGGAAGTACAGAGAATGGAGGAATGGGAAGGGGCTATCTCGCCAGTCACCTGGAAAGATTGGTCGCAGGAAGGAGAGGGGGAAACGCAGACAGAAAGAAGGACCCAAGATACGGAAGTTGAACGGGAGAACGAACAGGAGGGGGGGATTCCCAGTGACAGCGAGGAGACTATCATTTATATCTCCGATGAAGAAGAAATCAGGGAAAGAACCCCCCCTTTAAGTTACAGCCCCATCACCTCCCCGATAAGCGAATGGGATGAGGTGATGGAGGAGGGAGAAAATCATCCACCTCCCCTGGAGGAGGCGGTAAGGACACAGATCCAATGGGAAAATGAAGAGGATATGGAGGATTGGAGAGACCTTCTGGCCGGAGAGAATTTTGATAAGAAGATGGTGGGGGACATGGGACTGTTAGTCAGTGAAAACCTCATCCTGGCGTTTAAAAGGAACGATCATTCAGAGGACTTGGAGCCAGGAAGAGGGATTTTAATCGAGGAAGTGGAGGACGAAGAAGCCGAGGAAATCGTCTGGCTATAGGACAGTAACTGGTGAGATCCGTTCATTAAAAAAAAAAAAAACCCGTAATTTGGTCATTTATAGAATGTGGAACATGTACGATCCAGAATCCCCAGAGGTGGTCATCGAAGAATCGACGTCGGGAGAATCAGGAGAAGCGATGGAGTTAGAGGAGGCCTGCGAAAAGGGTGGTTCTCGTGAAGAAAGCAGAAAGGAAGGAAAGGTGACGAGGGAAGGAGAGGCGAGGACACAGGAGCAAACACAAAAAAGTACCCTGGCATTGAAGCTCGACGACAGGGATATGACGAGGGATGCGGGGAACTATATTTTTGACACCTTCTTTAGGCAGTCATTAAAGGCGAGGAGAAAGTTCTCCTTGGTTAGGTGGGGAGTGAAGGGTGGAGGGTTGTTGCTAACGACAAGGTGTGAAAAAACAAAGAGACTTATGGAAGAGGAAGTAGAAAAGGGCTTACAATGGAGAGGTTCAAAGGTGGTAAAATGCCAGGTCGAAGACCTAGAAAGAAGGAGTATGGTGGCATTATGGTGCAGCCATAGTACCATGCTCTTTCGTGATTTAGTGGAGGCCATCATAATAGAACACCCTGCGCTGAGGGCGGAAGAATGGGTGTTCTGGAAGGAAACTGAACCAGAAGAGAAAGGGAGGGAGTTCACCATAAAAATGCGACCGCACTCAGCGCAGGGGATAAGAAGGAGTAACGGAAAGCTCCGCCTCTGCGGTGGAGTCATTCGAATTGTATGTAAAATTCTATAATAAGTTAGGATAAGGTAGAACGATAATTAGCAATAAGATGTATAATAAAAATAAAAAGAGAAAACAATGAAAACAATTTATTAATAGATAAATAAGTATGTATAACAATAATAAACCAGAATTAGGACTTAAACATGTATATATACGCGTAGACTATGTGAATAGATTTGTAAGCCACGCTAGGTATAGACTATAAAGTAGGTTAGGGATATAGGATACAGGACATAGATATGATTAATAGTAAGCAACGGATGAATAAAATAAGTTACATAATAATACATTAAGACACGTGAATAAACCAAAAAGGGGGCGCGAGCATTTGCTACACCCCATAGTAATAAAAGCAAAAATGGAGTCTACCTTTTATTTTCCCTACCAAACTAGGATAATCCAAGGACATAAAAGGTGATGGTTATAGGAAAAAGGAAAGGGTGATAAGGGACACGGCAATAAGTAAAGATGGAAAGAGGGAGTAAGTTAATCTACCAAATAAAGAAGGGTAGGGGAACATTTCGGGGGGTATAAGGTAACGGGGTAAGAAAAAGGGAAAAGTATAGTAATACTAGGAAAATAATAAACAAGGCACTTTCCAGCCTAAGACAGAAACATCGGGCTATGGAGGGACGAAACCGATGCGATAAAAAGGGGGGTCAAGGAGAAAATATAGATATTAGGACAAAATATAAATAAGTGGATAAGAAAGGGTGTAGTAAGTGAAGGGAGGAGGTACAAATAGGGGAAAATTTTTACTTTCAGGACAAAATGAGGGTGGTCCAAATCAATCTACATCATGCGGCCGCGGCGGCACAAATCTTAACGAAGTATATGAGGCAAAATAATGTGGCCATAGCACTAATACAGGAACCCTATGTGGCGCACCACGCGGTCAGAGGCCTCGGTATGGCGGGAAAAATATACGCGGTCCAAGCCGGCAAGGACCTCAGGGCATGCGTGGTGTGCAGGGGGAACCTGGTGGTCACTTTTTTGCCTCAATTTAGCTCAAATAATTTAGCAGTAATATCTTTAAGAGTAAAAAGCGAAAGTCTGGATAACGAGAAAGAAATGATAGTAGCATCGGGTTATCTTCCCTGGAATTCGGACCGAGACATTCCAGGGGGGGAAATATTAAAGCTAGTGGAATGGTGCGAACATAGAAACACCCCACTCCTCTTGGGCATGGACGCAAACGCGAGAAATGTCATTTGGGGAAGCAAGGATACGAATAACCGAGGAAGGGATCTGATGGACTCTATTATCCAACAAGAACTGGTAATATACAACAGAGGGAGATCTCCTACCTTTCAAAGGTCGGATCGGGCGGAGGTGCTCGACATAACCCTAGGCAACAGACAGATGGACGGGTAAATTTCGGACTGGAAAGTGTCTAACGAGGTGTCAATGTCGGACCACAGGTACATCACCTTCCAACTGAATGGAAGAGGTGCAATGGAGACCTATCCGGTAAGGAACCCGAGGAAAACGGAGTGGAAGGAATTCCGAGCAAATCTGGCGATCAGATTACCGGAGTTACCCAGACACTACGGGAACCAAGAAGAACTGAACGAATATGCGAAGGAATTCTCAAGAATCACGATCGAATGCTGGGAAGAGGCAACGGAAATAAAACCTAGCGAAGAAAGAAGTAGAGTCCCTTGGTGGACTAAAGAACTCACTAAGGATGTGAAACAGGTAAAAGCTTTGGCGAAAAAAGCTCACAGAAGAAAAGGAGCATGGCACGACAGGAACCAGCTACGAGAAGCAAAAAAGATGTTGAAACAAAACCTATACAAGGCTAAAACACAAGCATGGAGGAGATTTTGTGCCTCAATCGATAAGGTATCGAATGCGGCAAAAATCAGCCACGTGCTTATGAATGCGACACCCAGACAGCTGGGTGCACTAAAGAAAGGTAACGGGGAATACACCGAGAATGATGGGGAGATACTGGGGAAACTGCTGGGGGCACACTTCCCAGGATTTTCCCGTAATCCCCATCAGTTAGATATTACGGATGGAACACAGGAACCAGGAGCACATTGGGCACTGGCCAATGTGATAGTATCGTTCCATAAACTAAGGGACGTAATCGGTTCATTCAATCCGTATAAGGCACCAGGATCGGATGGAATCTACCCGATAATTTTGAAGAAAATGCTACCCATAGGGGAACAAGCACTATTAAAACTGATAAGAGCTTCGTTCGCCACAGGCCTCATACCAGAGGACTGGACGGCAACGAAGGTTATATTTCTACCTAAACTAGGGAAGGCAGATTATTCCACGCCGAAGGCCTTCAGGCCTATCAGCTTGACCTCATTTACATTAAAGACCGCAGAGAAATTAATGGACAGATATATTAAAGAATATGTCTTTCCGATACACCCATTACACGATAAGCAACATGCTTTTCGAACAGGACATTCAGTCGAAACAGCATTGCACAATGTTACATTGGCAATAGAGACATCTTAGACTGAGGATGTGGATACACAATATGCTGACCAAAAGAAGGTTAGTGGCGACAAGAGGGGGACATTCAGTTTCAGGTTATGTAAACAGAGGCTGCCCTCAAGGTGGGATACTATCCCCATTGTTATGGTGCTTGGCGGTAAATTCACTGCTACAAGCATTAGAAGGTTGCGGTGTTGTCATATCGGCGTACGCAGACGACGTGGTGTTCTTGGCTATAAGCAATGATATTCAGGAAGCCTACGATAAGGCACAAGAAGCACTGGAAATTCTAAAAATCTGGTGCGACAGTACAGGCTTATCGGTAAACCCGGATAAGCTGGAGGTGGTGCGATTTACCAAACGAATCAAGATACCAGCTACGGAACCGTTGAAATACGAAGGTAAAGATCTAAAATTGGTAGATGAAGTAAAGTTTTTAGGGGTGGTATTCACCAAGAAACTCCTGTGGAGAAGGCAACAATCTCTATATGGTAAGTAGAGCCATAGGTGGTACATGGGGATTCTCCCCCAGAATAACGAGATGGATATATAGATCCATAGTGGTGCCAAGGGTAACACACGGGGCCATAGCGTGGTGGCAGGCGGCAAAAATGACGACGGTAAGGAACAAACTGAACAGTCTCCAGGGGCTGGCACATAGGAGAACTTTGGGCTCGCTCAGTACCACTCCGTTGGTAGCGATGGAGGTACTAACAAATACGACCCCATTAGACACAACTATTATAGACATAGCAATCAGGACGGCACACAGACTCAAATGTTGGAACAGTTGGACGGAGAACAATTACGGTCATGCATCAATTATAATGAACGAGGCAAATGCGGAAATGAATGACTGGATGAAAATGGATCAGGATAGAAGTGCCCCTAGTATGGTGCCGCAGCGATCTTTTCAGGTTAAAATACCCACCAGAGAACAATGGAGACAGGACGAGGTACTATCAAGAAACCAGATTGAGTGGTATACAGACGGTTCAAACAGAAACGGATTAGCAGGAGCAGGGTGGACAAATGGGACCACGGAAAGGCATTACGCAAGCCTGGGCAGGAACGTGACGGTCTTCCAAGCGGAAGCCTATGCGATAACGAGATGCGCAAGACTTCTCATGGATAAAGGTACGTGTAGTAAAGATATACGTATTTTTACAGACAGCCAGGCGGTGTTGCTGAGTGTTCAAAAACTTATGCATACATCGGTAACGGCAAGAAGGTGCAAGGAGCATCTCAACGAACTGGCATCCAGAGGTAACAAGGTTACACTGTGCTGGGTGCCAGGTCACAAAGGTATCGCAGGAAATGAGCTAGCGGACAAATTGGCTAACATGGGTTCGGGAAGAGCCCCGCCGGAAGGAGTACCCAGGCAGGTACCGCTACCAGAAGCGGCGTTTGCCCTGGGTAGGAGAAGATGGAGTATGGAGCAAAGAAAGAGGAGATGGGATTCCACTGTAGGTTGTAGAGTGGCCAAGAAAATGATAGGACCGGATCCTATATACAAAAATTGGAGGGACCTAATGGACCTCCCACGCGAGGACACACGGAGAGTCGCGGGACTTTTGACGGGACACGCGATTTTAAATCATCATCTCACACGGATGGGGGAATTGCAGGATGAACACTGCGAATTCTGCGACGAATATATAGCCGAATCGGCTGAACATATCCTGACGAGTTGCCAAGGATTAATGGAACCTCGCTTCAAGAGGTTCAGGAAAGCAATTCTGGATGAAGAGGATGTGCAACAACTAACAATAAAAGGAATCCAGAAATTTGCGCAGGATGTGGATAGAACTAGGCCAAGGAATGAGGACGAGGAAGAAGAGGAGGAAGTCTGGTAAGAAGAAAGTTAAAGGAGGGAATCCGGGACGCGTATGGGAGGACGGGAAGGGAGGCAAGGCAAAAGGATGTATCAGGGAGGGGGGAAGGGGAGGGGATAGTTAATTCTTTTTCTTTCAGTCCAATACAGGCATTAGGAAATTATACACAAAACTAATACAATGGTCTTAGAGGGAATACAGGAATAAGAGCGTAAAGGGAATGCACGTAAGGACCAAAAACATTAAGACGAAATAAGATAAAAACGCACACACGAAGGAAGGAGGGACGCCGCAATTTAGTATTTAAGCGCAATATTATGTAACACGGCATCGGCAAGGAAATGTACATATCAATAATAAATACTTATGTAAACAGCGTAATATGAGTTATGAATAACCATAATGGGGGAACTAGGAAGCTAAGCACAGATAGGGCGAATAAAAAGGGGGGAGGGAGTTACAACGTGGGGACAATAGCGTAGGTAGCAATTAAGTAAGAACAACAGATATACAACAGAAAGGGAGGAAGGAACATAAAACGGGGAAGGAATTGTACCCTCCCTAGATTCCCACTCTATAAGCCAGTAGGAAGTTTAGGACATAGTAATAAAGGAAGTAGGAGGGGGGGGATACAAATAAATAAAGAGGCGTGTCAAAACCAAACTTAAAGATATAAAAAAAAAAAAACAACAACAATAACAACAACATACAATGGGATACATAGACCACATATATGAAACGCCTAAGTCTAAGAAACCCCGCGGAGGGAGAAAGAGAAGGTAATAACAACATGCAAAACTATACGATGAAAGGATAATAAAGAAATATATATATTTATA